CACCAAATCCTAACCACTGGATTGCCAGGGAACTCCCAGACAAATTAGACTTTAAGGACTGTTAAAAGAGAAAAAGAAGGGCAATACACCATGATCAAGGGATTAATCCAAGAAGAACTAACAAACTTAAGTATTTATGCACCCAATAAGGAGCACCTAAATACATAAAGCAAATACAACTGACTTAAAGGGAGAAATTGACAGTAACAGTGAAAGCAGGGAAACTTAAAACCCCACTTAAGACAATGGACAGGTCATCCAGGCAGAAAATCAATAAGGAAACACTGACCTTAAATGATACATTAAACCAGATGGATACATATATAAATATATATATACACATGCATAGCACATCCATCCAAAAGCAACAGAATACACTTCCTTTTCAGGTGCATATGGAACTTTCTTCAGGGTAGATCACATGCAGGGCCTCAAAATGACAATCAGTAAATTTAAAATTGAAATTACATAATAATTTCACATATTCATGAATTTCATAAATTCATGAAAATACATAATAATAGGATGGAAGTGGGAGAGCAATAAAGTCTAGAAGGGGAAAAATTAGTTCTGGAGATATCCAGAGGTCACTGGGGCAGAGATATTGAGGTCACAAAGAGCGACAGAGAATGAAGGAGTAGAGGGATGGAGGAGGGGTGATGCTAGATGCAGTGGGTGGATTGAGGGTCACTAATTTTTCCTCCTACTCACCAATTCCATGACTTGCATTCAAATCATAAGCTAACTGTCAATAGTTTCTGATTTGAGACCTTGAGGTAATAACCTCACTTACATAAAATACTTGTGATGATCCCTTCAACTGAACACACAGTAAAGGTTTAGAGAAACAAATGAGTAAACAATGACACAATAATTCTCTTCTTTAGGGTCACTGGGTGCAAGGTGTGATCATGGAAACCACCAGAATGAAATAGATTCTGCCTAGCACCTGAATAGTCCTAAAGTAGATTCTCCCAGGAAAGCTGCAAATAAGAACCTATGCCTCATGACACCCTGATTTCTGACCTTGTAAGACCCTAACCAGAAAGCCCGGCCAAGGCCACTGGCTTTCTAACTTATGAACTGTAGAATGTTTTTTAAACTGCTAAATGTGAGGTCATACATTGTGGCAGTGATGAAAAAAAAAAAACAAAACTATGAAGTATAGGAACAAATTCAATTGTAAAATATGAGATTATAAAATATTTAAACAATAAATCCGAGTAAGGGAACTCCTTGCTGGTTAAGTGGTTAGGACTCTGCCGTCTCAATGCTGAGGGCCTGAGTTTGATTCCTGATCAGGTAACTAAGATCCAGCAAGCTGCATGAGCAAAACAGAAAGTATAATATCTCACTTATGGTGTTTCCAGTGTTGAAGTAATTAAACAAGGGGACCATTAGGTTGAGGTGACTCTCATTCTTAAGCAAAAAAACTTAATGCAGAGTCAAGGCACTTTAAATCTGAGAAGATAAATTAAAGATAACCAATCACACATAGCCAACTAGGTTTTCCAAGACCAAGGTGACTGGCTAAGATAACAGTCAAATATTATCCTTGCTTTGATTTGGTGTCTTCTCTACAAAAACATTTCCCTAGTTCCTGCAGATAAAGTGCTCCTAACCATCTTTGCTTTGAGGCTGTTAGAAAGGAATTCAGGTAGGCTCAAATTAACTCTTTAAAATTTGAATATGCATAAATTGATATTTTGACACACATTGCCATATTTCATTTTGAGCACTCTCCTCATCTAGTCTCTCATGACCCCATCCAGCTGCAGCCTCTCCCCACATCTCCCTGCCCCCATTCACTCATGCCAACAATACACCAGCATAACTATACCCTCAGTTGACTAGAATCCCTTGATGGTAACACCATACTGCCCACACTTCAGAGTCTCCCACCACATGCTGAGCAATGCACAGAGAAATTCTGGAACACACCAGTCACTCCCAGGGCCCAAACATCCAGTCAAATGCTCCTCCCTTCACCAGCCTGGGACTCAAGATCACCAGTCTTAAATCTCATTTTAATGAAGCCCACACACCTGAATTCACAGTTCAAGCAAGTTGGTACCACAATCTATAGCACAGACCAGTTCTCCCTCTAACCTGTGTTGTTATTCCTAGGGGTTTTGACAATTTTTCCATTTTTTGCCTTTTCTTTAGCCCAGAGCTTAACACAGACACACACAGGGATTGCGGGTGAAACTCATGAGGACTTGAATCTAGTACCACTAACAGTGCATACCACTAACAGAAGCAGAACATATTAAGAAGAGGTGGCAAGAATACACAGAAGAACTATACAGAAAAGATCGTCACGACCCAGATAATCACTATGGTGTGATCACTCACCTAGAGCCAGACATCCAGGAATGTGAAGTCAAGTGGACCTTAGGAAGCATCACTATGAACAAAAGTAGTGGAGGTGATGGAATTCCAGCTGAGCTATTTCAATTACTAAAAGATGATGCTGTGAAAGTGCTGCA